TGCGGTCAAGCTGGAGAAGGCAGAACTCAAGTTGTGTAAGTTCGGGTAGTAGGGTTTCGAAGAATTGAGTGTTTGTGGATAGAGTGTTTATAAATTAGGTCAAGTCTGAAATACTTCAGGCCTGTTCGTTCCTTATTTACTGTGAAGCCTCGAGATTTTATTAGTATGGATAGAAGATACTTGGCGGCGGCGGCAGCATTAGCAGTAGTGCCAGTGAAGGAGGAGGGAGCAGAGGATCCGGCTTGGGTTATAGATCGAGGATCCCGACTATGTTGTTCTCGATGTTCACTAATTTTGCTTGAATTTACGTCGCCGGCCGGTAACGCCCCGATGATGCACACACCCTCTCTGTCGGTAAATCGCTCTCGCAATTTACTCCGGTGAATAATTGCATAAATTTTGGGTTTCGATTGTTCTCTCAATTGGTTGGCGGATGTTAGGTTATGGCAGAATTCGCAGCATAATGTTTATTTGATTAAAGAGCTCGACCGGATTACTTGGCAGGTTAGGCATTTTTGGTTTCTTACTGCTGCTCAAATTTCGAATTTCCTCTGCTGCTGATAAGATACATGAATGTTTGTTAAGTGGTAGGCAATGAAAGCTAATTGGGTGGACAATTATAAGTTGAACACCACTGGATAGCAATGTTGCAGCTGTGAAAACAATGTTCATTGTGACCTGTTCTTTCTGTTTTATCTCTTTCCCCCTGCTGCACATTCGTCTTCTGATTACGGATACATATTTTTCTTCTCTGTCTTCTCTCCACAGTGTTCCTATGAAATTGTGAAATTGTGATTCTACTTGTTGCTTCTCTAACTCAGCTGATGCTTTCTGTGTACAGGAACAAAAATAAGTCTAACAAACAAGAATTTGCAAAATCCTCAACTAAATGGGGGGAGTGGTTTAACAGATTTGTATTTGTTACTCTGACCTGGATCCACTACTGCAGCATGTACTTTCTGGTAGAGAAACTAGTCTATTGCAAGGTCCAAGCCACTTGCCAATTTGTTGGTGGGTGGACTCATGGCTACCCTAGTGCATTCGGAGTCCAGGAGGCTCTAGTCTTGGTGGTGGGATAGTCACATCTCCAAGAACTCCAAATGGCTTCAGGACAATCTCACAGGTCCTTGCTTTAGTCATTTTCTTTTAGATCTTTTGTGACTTGCTCTTTTCTCAAGTAGTTCCACTCCATAGTTCATTCTTTGCTCCACTTTGCAGTTTTGTGGGCCTCTTTTGTTGGAAGCAAAAGTGAATCATTATCATATGTTGTGCAAAAGTAGGCAAAGCATACAAGTTATGGTCCTTTACTGAAGCTCATTTTCTTGTGCACGAGTCATATGGTCCTTTGTTTCATTTATCTGACTTAGCTTGCTGAATCAGTGGACCAGTCTTCTTCAAAGATATATTATAGAGAGCTTTCATCAGGGGACACATTTTTATGTACTACAACGGATTTTTAAAGATTGCCTGAAGTAATCAAAGGTAAGCCTTATGAACTTAAACTCTAGGAGATTAAGAAGAGTGGAATGTTACTTAACAACAATACTTAAAGTTTGGAAACATTTTTTACTGTTGAAAATAAGTTCGGCACATGTTCAGATTTGTTAGTTGTTGGAAGCTCATCTTAATCATTATTAGTCAATGTCTTTATAGCATTTCCACATTTTTGTTCTCGACCTCTTATGCTAGCCTCCAGAATTATCCATCAAATTCGAGTAATAATCTCTATCCTGATATTTTGGTTGATTCTTTGCTTAGCCTCTGCATTTGAACAAGTGAAGCAACTTTCTTCTCTAGAAAGAATTTAAGATCTTCAAATGGGATTTGTACAGGTATTATGTATTTGGCAATTCATTTTGCAGAGTGTATCATAGCTTGTAGCAGCATTACTAACCCAATTAGCAGGATTTAGAGTTTTTCTATCTCAATTTTTACAGATGCTTCTGTATTTGTGCATGGAATACAACAGCTCATTCTATGGATTCTCCTTAGTGCGTTAGAAGCTGCAGAGATGCAGAAGCAAAAGCAACAGAAGATGCTAGGCAAATAATGGAGTAAACGGTGAAGAAAAAACTCTTTTCGAGGATGGAAATGATGATATTGACGGGGAAGAACATGTTAGAACATAGACTATTTAGAATGTTTAATGAATGATTTTGGTTTTATATTTTCTTAAGATTATAAATCATAGAATTTGTGGTGGAAAGAATTATTTGTGTTGTACAACCATTTGTAGGTTTTTTATATAATAAAGTTAATACTGGTCAATAAGGGACTCTCATCGAACCTATGTTATCCCTGGAATGTTTCTCTCACTACAAAAAAGCGTGTCATTAGTGACAAAAATTAGCGACGGCTGGTCAATTTCGTCGCTAAAAATCACTTTTAGGGACGATATTCTTCTTTCGTCAATAATGTTTCGTCAGCGAGTTATTTATTTGTGACAAAGCGTTGACGTTGTCCTTAAAGACCATAATCTTTGTCACTAACTCTATTTTTTGGAGGGAAAAATTGGCGCCATGATTATTTGCTACGAATAAAATTTGGTCGTCAGTAATGTTATGTCAAAACATTGTGTTTTGCGACAAAGTTTAAACGTCGTCGGTAAAGCCTACTATTAGTGACAAAATTAGCGAGGGCTGATTAATTTCTTTGCTAAAAATTGACTTATAGGGACGATATTCCTCTTTCGTCAATAATGTTTCGTTGACGATTTATGCATTTGTGACAAAGCATAGATTTTGTCGGTAAAGATAGTTGTTAGTGATAAAAATTTAGGGCCGGTCAATTTCATAGCTACAAATTACTGTTATTAGTGGAGTTTGTAGTGATTATGCCTTTTAAGATGACATTGTAGTGTAAATGGATAGATTGATGCAGAATGTTGGTGGTTTGGAGAAGGACTTGGGGTTTAGGAGGGGTAAAGTATACTAGCTAATAGTTACAGTGATATCAACATTTTCAATTTTCTATCCAATAATCCTAATACAACCACAACTTAAAGAGTATTATTAAACATATAAATAAAAACTCACAACGAAAATGGAGAAACTCTTAACAATATCTTATACCCTAAACATCAATACCTTATACCCTAATGATAAATCGTTTGATTCATGAACATATATTAATACTGAACTTGATCTTATGAGTTATGATATTGTTAATTAATATATTTTCCCGTGACTTGAATTGTAACTAAATCTAATCAAAATCATAACCATATCCCTATAATATCATTATCAATACAATGTATTCTAAGTTAACCACTAAACCACTAATACAAAAATCATAACTCATACACGCCCTCTCAAATTTTGCCCGCCCTCTCAAAATTTTCACAGCCCGCCCACTCTTCCTCTTCTACAATTGAAAAAATTACCCCAAAAAATTGTGACCCACCACTTTAATTTTAATTCTATACCCTTCTTTCCTCTTCTTCGATATCCTTTTCCCCACTACACCGCCTCTTATTCTTCCTTCAGTTTTTCTTTTCTTTCTCTTTCCTGTTGACTCGACTCCTACTGTCACCCTAGAAAATGGCCAAGTATAACCACTTCCTAAAGCGTAATATAGCGGGTCGGGTTTTAATGTCAACCCGGGTCCTAGATGTGATGACTACTCGGTGAATTCTTGTTATTTAGCAGTGAACTTTTAGTGAAACTCAAGCAAACAAAACAGAAAGCAAGTAAACGGTTTGTTGTCAAGTCAAGAGAGGTCACCCGGATATGGTTTCCCCCTAGACTGCAGTTAAGCCGGATTGTAATTACCAAGTTCAATTTCTATGAAGATTATACTGCAGAAGGTTCTTAAACAGCCTGAAGTCTCGACTAAAGGTCTTCAGACCCTCTCAATCTGACTCTCTAGCGGGCGACTAACCTCCACCGGAGTCGACAGATTGAGGCCCTAAGAACAAAACCTCCACTACCGGAGTAAATCCGGTACAGAATAGTGAGTTGGCTCCTCGACTAAAGTCACCAACTCCCTACCTTCAATCAAGGGTACTCTATCAACCTAGGCAGATATTCTCATTCCAGGTCAAAGCAGAAACAACAGGAATTTGATCAGGATTCAAGTCATTCAATCATTCAAACCTCAATCGAATATAATCAATTCACAAACACTGTACTTGGGTTCATACAATCAGACCTAGCATACAAATCTAGGGTTCTCCATACCCAGATGAATGGGGAAACTACTCCATAGAGAAAGAAGCAAAAGCAGATTCAGACACGGAAATCATACTGTGAAGTTGGATTCCTGCTTCTGGACGTTTAATCGCACTTCTCCAAGCTCAAGACGGGCTCCAATGGTGTTGAAGATCGATCTATGGCGCTTGAGAACTCTGGTTCGACGCTTTCTCTCTCTAGGTATCGGTTTCTCTCTCAAAAACTCGGAACCCCCTGAAAATTGGCCTTCTTCCTGTTTTATCAGCTGCCTGTCGCGATACCCGGTCAAAATACCCGGTCGGGTATTTTATGGTTCGACCGGGTATTTTATGAAACGCACCGTCTGACTAAGGGAAAAATCCCCGGTCTACCACCAAAATCCCCGACCGGGGATTTAAGGCCTTCGCCCGGGCCCCCTTCTGTTTCTCACGGGGTGCCAAAACGATAAATACCCGGTCGGGTATTTTGCCATCCGACCGGGTATTTTCCTCCTGCAGCCCCCTTAGTCCCAACTCGGCTCCTTTCGACCTAGAACTCGTTTCTCCGCCTCGATTCCAACGCCTGGACCTGAAATATGACACAAACACACAACCTGGCGTAAAATCGGCTTAAAACACGAGATTCCTCATCACAAACGGCTCCAGAATAGGGGTGAAAATATGTATAATTATCGGTCTATCACCTGTCCAGCGAATGCGATGGAGATCGATGGCAGCGATTTTGAGTTTCCGACGAGCTCCTGCCCACTAGATCCTCCTTCCGACTCCTGCATCCTTCTTCCCGCCGGCGACACCGCTGCTCTCCTATTTCCCTCTGCATGCGAGCTCTGCCCTACGATTCTGTATTTGTTTTCTGTGTTGCAGGTATTGATAAGGATCTATAGACGGAGTCGACGGGGACGAGCGACGGCGGGTTGATTATTGTGTTGGTGGTGGTGAGGTGCGCTGGTCGTTGTCTGATTTGGGAGGGGCGGCGGAGATCGACGAGCACAAGGGTTCCGATTCGCGTTCCGATTCGCCTCCCCTGACTTTTCAGGGTTGCTACTGTAAGCATAGGTGAAGAAATTTGTCGTCGTTCCTTGTTTGTACAAGAAAGTCTTGCGATTATGGGTATTTTGTTTTCTTAGCTCGTGTTTCTAGGTTTTGTGGCGAATGGAGTTGGAGATATCGGCGATTTTGGGCTTCTGACGAAGGGATCGAGCTGGGCATAATGGGTTCGAGAATCAAGCACCCATTTCTATACATGGTGATTGTCAAATTTGTTTACACCAATTGGTCAATTTGTTCGAGTTGATTGGGTTACAGGGTTCGTTTAATTTGGCTTTCTAGGTTTTTGAATAAGTAGAAGAAGCAGGACAAGGGTTCTAATTTTCGTTTGTTTAGGGTTTTGGGTTCTTGAACAAGAGTAAGAAACAAAACATTGGTTAGTTTTGGCTTTCTATGTTCTTTGCACGAGAGGAATAAACAAATCATTGAACATGGGTTTTCGTTTGTTTTGGATATATGTTTTGGAGTTATCGGGTTCATTTTGTTTTGCATTCCTCCATAACCTTATTAATTTTGTGTTGTGCTCTTAGATGGGAAGTCAAGATAGTCTAACAAGGCTGGAAAGGCTGGAAATAGACGCAAGCATCACGAGAGGGTGGACGAAATTAGTGAAGAAGAAGATTCAGATGATAATTAAGGATACGACTCAGATAATCAAGAAAAGAGCAATCAAGATTGAAGCAGAAAAGAACAATCAAGATTGATATTTTGTTTCGTTTTTTGGACTTGGTGTCATGTCCTTGGATTTCATATGTCTATATTTTGTATTTATCAAATATTGGCCATGTAGAATATTTAGAATGTTAAAACTTTCAGATTACCTGATTTTTCGTCAATATATTCTATTATGTGTCACAAATTTAAATATTTATGACAATTACATTTCATAAACAAAAAGTGCTTACGACGACGTTCAATCGTCCCAAATACCATTAAACATCGTCCAAAAAAATTTATTATTGATAATATTATTTCTTATAGCGACGACTATGTGTTGTCAAACAAAATTACAATGTTGTCAATCTTCGTCAAACTACCGACACGATTATTAATTTTTCCGATGATTATTTGTCGTCACAAAAACAAAGGTGTGTATTTCGTCAATTTGAAGACTCATTAGTGATGACGCCTACCCGTCGCAAAATAGCTTTTACGACGGCTCGTCACGAAGAAAGTTTTTGTGACGCCAGTATTTGGAACGACGTGCGACGACCTCATGGCGTCGCAAAAGCGTATTTGCGACAACATTTGGCTTTTATCGACGAAAACCTCTTGTCACTAGTGGCAGTCTTTTTTGTAGTGTCTAGGCGAAAAACTAATTACCTGGATCAATTTTAGCGGCATGTAGCAAGGGTTTCCAACCCTTGCTACATGTAAGTTACCATTAGCGACGGGTTTTCTAGCGACAAATCAGACATCGATTTGTGTATATTTTAGCCATCTAAAGCAAGGGTTTTAACCCTTGTTATGTTTAGCAAAGGTTATAACCCTTGCTACGTACCCTTGCAAGGGACTTCCACCAAGGGTTGCCTAAAACCCTTGCTATATGTAGCAAGGGCGGCTTTGCCAAGGGTCGTTAGCAAGGGTTGGGCAACCCCTGCTACTACCTGTAGCAAGGGTTAAAACCCTTGGTATAAGTTAAAAAAACCCTTGTCGTAGGCACATTTTATTGTAGTGCGCACAGTTTTACTCTGGGGTGTCCTCCCCAAAAGGCCTCGTGCTAATGAGCTTGGTGGACACTAATATACAACGATTCCTTTCCTTGTATTCCCGAAGTGGTACTTGGATTTTCTCGTAACAATCCTCCCCTCAATCCAAGGACCACGAACTTCGTGTCCTCACCCCAGCTATTATCTTGATCTGCCAGACGCTTTGTATCGATGGGCATCTCGGTACAAGGACTTTAGCAAACGCAGAACTCTCTTTGATATGCTTCCAAAATGTGGAACTCTCTTTGATCCGCCAAGCCCAAACGTGGATCTCTCCTAGATCCACCAAACAGACGCGATTCTCAAATCCCAAGGTCACCGAATGAGGGTCCACCAAACTGACGTCCACTGTCTCGCACCGAACCAGGCTCTGATACCACTTCTCCTAACCGGGATCATACTATCCTTTTACAATTAAATTGCTAAACCGAAAACAGTTTTCCGAAGGGAACTGGTAATCTTTAGAATATGCAAAGGTTTCTCCATCATTTCTTGTTGTAAATATAGTAAAGGGCGCTAACGCTAACACTTGTACTAAGTCCAAACATATTTATCACTGTAACATAGATGAGTTTCCTTACAAAACAAGAGAAATGAATGTGGATACGTGTGTGTATGTTATTTAAACAAGTATTTTCTGAAAACAAAAGAGACAAATGGAATAGGGTTCCTTTATCCGGGTGTAGCAAAGCAATTAAACTGAAACATTACTTAGGACAAACTATAGTAGAAGGGATTACGTACGAAAGCTAATTCCTTTCCTGTTTCTCACACAAATATCAAGTTTAGAGTCTTCTTAATTGGAATAAAGCCGGACTTATGTGTGTATATATATGTCGAACAATCGCACTTCCATATAGCAAAAACATAAACTCACAGTTGAAAGCATAAGGAAAATTTTCTCCAAGCAACATACTAAATAAATTAAAGATATATATCCATGGCTTCGAAAGCTTGTATTCTTTTGTTCTTGTTGTTGGCTGCTTGCTTTCTAATCTCCGATGGCGCTTCCAGGGTCCGACTCTCAACAACCAACTCATCACCGCTCCCTTCCATAGTTTCGGATAGGGTTGACGGTGTCCTTCAGGTATCCATTGCATGCATGCACGCAACATTCTTTTTCATCTTTCGGCCATGTTAGTATTACGTTAGAACTATAATAACCATTATGTTAGTATTATATAATAACCGTTATTGATTGGCTACTGTATAGGCCGAAAGCGACTTCTCCCCGCCAGCACCAGTGGCCTTGACTGCTACGGCCAAAAACGGCAATGAAATTGACTGTCATAAGCAAAAGGGCGATGACGCACCAGCTCCCGGGGACGACTAATGATTGAAACCAAATCACACCAATAGGTTAATCATGATCACCATACAAACTTTGCTTCATGTGTCGTCCAATGCGTGTCCTTCCGTGCTTTCTACGCATTATAATATCTACTGTTCGTGTTTTACATCTGCTGAATTAGTACAATAAATAAAAGGGTGCATGCATGCATGCAATTTCCTCCACCACTCATCTAATCAACCTGTAACACCCCGACGTTTGGCTTCAAGTTCGACCATAATAATGAATGAATGGATAGACGATTACGTACGAAGAGTTGCAACAGTGAATAAGAGAAAATAATAATACGTTATTATTATTATCTAGTTACAAATGAACACTTATAGTGACTGGCTCCCCATTTACGTGTCCTTCTTCTGAGATCTCCAACCTTCATAAATCATCATCATATCCCTAAAGCTAGCACCTCCAATTATTCAACCACTTGGTCCCTACAATAATTACTCCAGATCTGAAATAATGGCAAGATAAGATCCAATCAATATAATTCCATTAAAGAAAGAGGAAGAAGAGATGCTTCCGTTTATCTGTTCAAATAAAGCAGCAGTAGCAACCCTTCCATCTTCTTTTCGTTACACAAACAAACCAAAGAGACCCAGCACCTTCTTTTATTCTCCCCCTCGACAACAAGGATCCAGCAGCTCCCCTCCACTCCATTCATTCTCCTCGACAGCAAACAAGATGGCAACACCATCTCCTTTTCTCCCTCTCGACACAAAGACAACAATTATCTTCCATCTTCTCCTCTTGGCAGCAACAACTCAAGCAAGCAACGAGATTTCATTCCTCTCGACAACCAACAAGAAGCCGGTCCTTTCCATTCTCCTTCCTCTCGACAATCACAAGGAAGGCAGCAGCTCCATTTCTATTCCTTTTTGTTCACGGCAACAACAAGCAGATCAAGCATCAAGTCGCACTTCATATGGTGGAAGCCTCATTCGATAGTAGATCGAACATCCCCGTCATTGCTCGATCTCCCTCGATATCACCTTCTCCTATCGTTAATATACGACCCTAAATAACTTTCAATGTACAAGTCAATTTTAGTAACCATCAGTTCACATACGTAATTAAATTGTAGTTACGTTGGCCAAGCGATTGGGTGATCAATTGACGAGATTAATGTCGAATATTGTTTGAACAACCTCCATCACGTTCTAGGCACGAAGTTAAGGTAACGAGTTAAACCTCCTCTTTCGTGTCTTTTTGAGTTTTGGGTATCTTAGTGTCATAACAGGGATTGCTCCATTAGTACGATATTGTCCGCTTTGGTTGCATACGATGATGAGTGCGTAATCTTTTTAATTAATTGAAGTAGGGCGATGAATTAACTGTGGATTTTTGCGTATATGTAAAGGAGAACTAAATGGGCTAATGATGGATGTAGTACGAGTTCTTCAAGTTTTAACCAGAGGGATGGTTAATATTGAGGGGACGATTTTAGTACGTATATAAATATATTGGTCATCATATATCATGTATCGAAATCCAACTCGACGATCTTAATAGTAGTCAATAATTAATGAAAAATTGACCAATTAACAAGGGGGTGTCATTTTTTCTACCCGGGATATATTTAAAAACAATTCAAATAGCATAACCTTGATTAAAATTACCAAATTTAAAGAACTTAATAATTCAAGACAAAGCCCTAAACACAATGGCAAAATTTAAATCATACTCGTAAAATAAACAAAAGAAACGAATCTTCAATCTTTTACTTATAACCACAAAGTATCAACAAATTAAAGTGTTCTCCAATTCTTATGATGATACTTCATGTGCCATCCCTCGGCAAAGATTGTGTTGAGCTCCTCAAACTTGCTGATCACGAACTGTCTGGTTAGGATCTCCGCCTCTATGATCTGGTGAGTGAGTTGGGGTCAGTCTACACCTTTACGTTTAAACTCTCTAGTATATTATTCAAAACTAATGGGAGTTAATGTTACTCTACATTTTTAAAACTCAAATCTCGACTTAAATTCTTGACTGACACATGGATCCCTAACTAGCTAGTCCGCTTGCCTAACTCATATGTATTAATTCCCATCTAGGCTTCCATAAACTCTTAAAACTTTTCACCTTCCTTGAAGGTGAAATACTCCTTAAAAGACAACTTACTTCTTAACTGTAACTTACTTGTAATTAAATACATGCAATCAAATGTATAACTTAAAACATAATTTACAAATAATATCATGCATCACGTAAACATACATAAGCAAATATGACACATAGCAGCAAATCTCAAATTTAATATCGTGAGGTAAATACTTTAAACTATGTAAGGCATAGATTTTACCCCTTTACACTCACTTTATTTCCTTAATCAAAATGACTGAGAAAGAACTCCAACACAATTCGTTTTTCCTTTGGCGAGATGGCCAATTCCCTTACCGAATCTCTGAAAATTCCCTTAAGATCGTCGAGTTGGATTTCGATACATGATATATGATGACCAATATATTTATATACGTACTAAAATCGTCCCCTCAATATTAACCATCCCTCTGGTTAAAACTTGAAGAACTCGTACTACATCCATCATTAGCCATTTAGTTCTCCTTTACATATACGCAAAAATCCACAGTTAATTCATCGCCCTACTTCAATTAATTAAAAAGATTACGCACTCATCCTCGTATGCAACCTAGATTTAATTGCTTCACGAACTACCTTTATTATTACTAACTATATATATATACTCAAATAATGCATGCTAGTAAGACCCATTTCTCGTTTTAATCTACACATATATATATATATATATACTTTACAAGGTAATTAATTAATAATCTTAACATAACTATTTACCCATCTCTTACATAACTACATATTAATTTAAAAGGACATTTTTATCCCGTACATGCTAAATCCTAGGTAGGTGATTTTAACGTATACTATACCACTAGCCATATTTAATTTACATATGCAAATTTAATAGCTACCATCACGTCACAATTATTCCTATTATACGAATCACATTGAAAAATAACTAACTCATTTATCTATTAATTTAGTCAAGCCATGCATGAAGAACTTTTCGTTATCTCCTTCCCGTTACTATCATTAATTCAATAACTCCGATCGTTACTCAATTAAATATGGAGGGTTCTCATTTCTTGGCTTTAGAACTTATGGAAAAAACTTCTTCAAAATCTTGGCATTTCGTCTTCGTCTACGCACCACAGGACAGGAGTGATAAACTGGCTTTTCTTGATGAACTTAACGGATTCTGTATTCAGCATCCTGGGGCAGTGTGTATCGCAGGGGATTTCAACATGGTTAGGAATCATGAAGCGGGTCTTATCGCCAATGAGCTGGTTGACAGTAGAAAGAAGAGCAGGAAGCCCGACCTTATGTTTAACCTCGATATTGAGAAGGCCTTCGACAACGTGAACTGGGAATGTTTGTTCAAGATTCTTTCAGGATTGGGATTTTCGGAGAAATGGAAGAGTTGGGTAAAGGGATCCATGTGTTCTTCTATGATATCTATTCTGGTTAACGGTGAAGCGAAAGGGTATTTCAGAACCTCTAAAGGTCTTCGTCAGGGCGACCCCCTTTCACCAGGGTTGTTCGTCTTAGTGATGGATGTTCTGTCTATGATGCTGAAAGTAGTCAGGGAAGCTGGGAAATTCGAAGGATTTTACATGAAAGAAGACACCAAAAACGGCGAAGTTACGCACCTCCTGTTTGCCGACGATACAGTGATATTCTGCGACGCCCATCACGATCAAGTTCTGAATATTTTGGCTACTATTGTGTGTTTCCAATCCGTGACCGGTTTAAGGATAAATCTGGACAAGTCAGTGATGTATACTGTCGGTGACGTGGCGGACCCTAGTTTCTATGCGGCTATTTTTGGGTGCAAATGGAGCAAAGATCCTCCGAAGTATCTAAGCTTCCCTCTTGGAGCCAAACCGAATGATCCGGCAATTTGGGACACCTTGATCGACAAAATGCAGAGTAAACTTAACGGATGGGGGAGCAGACAGTTATCATATGGAGCTAGATTGGTTTTGTGCACCGCGGTTCTAGGGAGCATGCCTACGTACCTGTTTTCCCTATTCAAGGCACATGCTTATGTTCTCCAGGAATTGGAAAGAACTCAAAGGAGGTTCTTATGGAACGGTGGGCGTGATATCAATAGAAGGGCCCTCGTGGAGTGGAAATTGTGCAAAACCGTGAAAAGTAAGGGCGGGCTGGGAATTCATGATATTAAAGCCTTCAATGAAGCAATGTTGACCAAGTGGTTGTGGCGGTTTGCAACGGAGAGGGATAGTTGGTGGCGCAAGCTTATCGATATCAAATACCACAACCCCTCTTCGGTTTGGCAGACGGAAAAGGTTAGAAGTGGTTTTTCTCAATCGGTTTGGGCAAACATAACAAAGGAATACGAGTTATTTTGGAAGTTTGCGAGCATAGATTCGGGAAATGGGACCATGATTTCGTTTTGGCATGACGTTTGAAATCAAGGGATGGTGCTGTCTTCTGCATTTCCCCGGGTTGCTGCTGCTGCCGCTGACTCCGAAGCAAGACTTTCTGATGTAACATCCCTCAATGGTGAGTTGGTACGTAAGTTGGTCTTTTAATCTTAAATACAATTTGAGGGGGGGGGGGGGGGGTGCTGAACGGGAAAGGGTAGATTTGTTGAATTTTCTTAATAATATTCCCATGAACAACTTTGCTCTTAGTCCGTGCAGAATGGTGTGGAATCCTGACCCAAACAGTAAGTTCTAGGTGAGATCTCTATACAGGAACATAGTGCTGGAAACGTTGCCAGGAATGCTTGATTTCCCGTTGAAACAAGTTTGGAAGAAAATGATTCCTAGTAAAGTGTGCTTCTTTATGTGGATGGTGTTCCATAACAAGATTCTTACTGTTGACAACCTGAAGAGGAGAGGGTGGTCGTTGGCGAACAGATGTTGTCTTTGTTGTAGGAAAGAAGAATCTATCAACCACATGTTGGTGGAGTGTGAGTTTGTGATGGAAGTGTGGAGTCATATCAACAGGGTTAGACCGGTTGCGTCCTTTCAAGATAGGGAGGTGAAGTTAATAATCAAACACAGCCCTCATTCCAAACCTGGAAACGTCGGAGAGTGGTTCAGAGACTGTATCTTACATGCTGTTTGGTAGTTTTTGTGGTTGGAAAGGAATCAACGGGTGTTCGAGGAGAAGAAGTCAAATGCAAGTGGGGTGGCTAGAAGAGCTGCGAGGAACGCGATGGAATGGCTGGTGGCACATGGTCAGATAGATAAAATCCAGGGCGAGGCTTGGTTGCACGAGCTCCTGTTGATTTGCTGACTTGTTGCGGCGATGCTGGTCTTGGTGTAGTTGCAGATCGGTTCCTGCTGTGGTGAGTTTTTCTACATGTTTTATCAGGGGTGGGATCTACTGTGGATAGTTTCTTACTGTTTGTAGTTCCCTGCTGTTGGGTGGAGGATGGAAAGGTGTTTTTCTACATGTTTGGCAGGACTTTGCCTCCTTCCTCTGCATTTAATTGGAGGATTATTGCAGGTTATAATGACACAGGTCGCAGAAGTTATATTATAGGGGGTTGGGGAGTTTTATTTGGTGGGTCTGCAACGAAGATAGGGGAAGAACTTAGTAGTACCTTTAGTTTGGTTCTTTGTTGTTCTGTTTCAGGCTGTCTCTGTTACAGTTGCGACCTGGTCTTTTTGCAGTTTTGTTTTGTTCACTTGCCGGATCTTGTCTCGTGATCCGTCTGTATTGAACTCTTTGTTTTTTTATTTAATGCATCAATCGCCATTATAAAAAAAATATAACCAAGTGTTATGGGACAATTCAAGTACCACATCAGATTTACAAGGGAATTAATCCTTGTATATTAGTGTCCACCAAGCTTATTAGTACGAGGCCTTTTGGGGAGGCCACCCAACAGTAAAACCGTGTGGGCTTAGCCCAAAGCGGACAATATCGTACTAATAGAGCAATCCCGGTTATGACACTAAGATACCCAAAACTCAAAAAGACATGAAAGATGAGGTTTAGCTCGTTACCTTAACTTCGTGCCTAGAACGTGATGGAGGTTGTTCAAACTATATTCAACATTGATCTCGTCGAATGATCACCCAATCACTTGGCCAACGTAACTACAATTTAATTATGACGGGGATGGAGCTGCTGCCTTCCTTGTGTTCGTCGAGAGGAAGGAGAATGGAAAGGACCGGGTTCTTGTTGGTTGTCGAGAGGAATGAAATCCCGTTTGCTGTCGAGGAGAATGAATGGAGTGGAGGGGAGCTGCTGGATCCTTGTTGTCGAGGGGGAGAATAAAAGAAGGTGCTGGGTCTCCTTGGTTTGTTTGTGTAACGAAAAGAAGATGGAAGGGTTGCTACTGCTGCTTTATTTGAACAGATAAACGGAAGCATCTCTTCTTCCTCTTTCTTTAATGGAATTATATTGATTGGATCTTATCTTGCCATAATTTCAGATCTGGAGTAATTATTGTAGGGACCAAGTGGTTGAATAATTGGAGGTGCTAGCTTTAGAGATACGATGATGATTTATGAAGGTTGGAGATATCAGAAGAAGGACACGTAAATGGGGAGCCAGTCACTATAAGTGTTCGTTTGTAACTAGATAATAATAATAACGTATTATTATTTTCTCTTATTCACAGTTGCAACTCTTCGTACGTAATCATCTATCCAATCATTTATTATTATGGTCGAACTTGAAGCCAAACGTCGGGGTGTTACAGGTTGATTAGATGAGTGGTGGAGGAAATTGCATGCATGCACCCTTTTATTTATTGTACTAATTCAGCGGATGTAAAACACGAACAGTAGATATTATAATGCGTAGAAAGCACGGAAGGACACGCATTGGACGATACATGAAGCAAAGTTTGTATGGTGGTCATGATTAACCTATAGGTGTTATTTGGCTTCTATCATTAGTCGTCCACGGGAGCTGGTGCGTCATCGCCCTTTTGCTTATGACAGTCAATTTCATTGCCGTTTTTGGCCGTAGCAGTCAAGGCCACTGGTGCTGGCGGGGAGAAGTCGCTTTCTGCCTATACAGTAGCCAATTAACAACCTTTTAGGGTTGAGGATCAGAAGTCGTGCCTCCTTTCATTACAATCTCAGCTTATATAGCTGGGTAGTTCACTTACAGACAGATTGGAAGAAGAAGACAAAGCTTGGGTTCTAAGCAAGTACAACTCAGAAATGGAAAGAAGTACAAATAACAAGTTTAGGGAGCTGTTGGTAATTTGCCAGAAACGACATCACTCCGTCTTCTCGGTTGTGGTCTTGGCGAAACGTTGTCGTTCGGTTTAGTGAGAGTGAGTATTGACGCAACGGCATCGTTTGGATCAGTCGCAGCGGGTCTTGACAGAACGGCGGCGTTTGGTGCAACGGTCATCTTCTTCAGTTGCTCTGGATTCGAAATTGGGGAAAAACTGATTGTTTTCCCTGAGCATGAAGAAGAGGTTGGAGAAGCTCGCCGGCGGGAGAGGCTTGGTGAGGATGTCGGCGAGCTGGTGTAGAGTGGAGGCATGGAGGATCTTGATGGTACCTGCAAGCAATTTCTCACGAACAAAGTGACAATCAAGCTCAATATGCTTGGTCCGTTCGTGGAATGTAGGATTTTCGGTGATGTAGATGGCCGATTGATTGTCTCAAAACACGGTGGCAGGCTGGGGATGAGAAATGCCAAAGTCTTGGATCAAGTACATGAGCCATTGGACTTCACAGGTGGTGAATGCGAGGGCTCTGTATTCGGCCTCGCAGGAGGACCTGGAAATAGTGGTCTGCTTCTTACTCTTCCAGGAAACAAGAGAATCACCCAAGTACACGCAGTAACCGGTGACAGAGCGGCGAGTGTCAATGCAGGCCGCCCAATCGGAGTCGCTGAATGCCTTGAGGTGAAGTGAAGAAGAGGAAGAGAAGAAGATGCCACTCAATGGAGCAGTCTTCAGATAGCGTAAGATGCGGAGTACATCCTTGAAGTGGGTATTGCTTGGATTGTGCATATACTGACTGACCTGTTGAGTTGCATAGCTGATCTCGGGTCTGGTGGTGGTGAGGTAAATGAGCTTCCCAACCAACCTTCTATAGAATTCAAGGTCAGGATATGTGTCTAAGTGGGAGGCAGAGAGGTGAACTTTGTAATCAATGGGAGTTGAAGCAGGTTTGGAGTGAAGAAGGTCTGCCTCCTCAAGGATTTCCAGTGTGTATTTGCGTTGGGAGATGTGAATTCCTTTCTTACTCCTTGCAACCTCAATGCCAAGGAAAAATTTGAGGTTGCCAAGGTCCTTGATACTGAATTCTTGATGAAGGTGTGTCTTGAGGCGATCAATTTCAGCAAGATCATTCCCACCTACAATGAGGTCGTCAATATAAACAAGGATGCTGGTGGAAGAGCTGCCATTGGATTTGAAAAAGAGGGAATGGTCAACTTTGCTGGATTGGTAGCCAAGGCTGATGAGAGTGTCTGCAAGTTTGGCAAACCACTGTCTGGAAGCCTGTTTAAGGCCATGGAGTGACTTTCCGAGCTTACAGACAGGGTGTTTGAACCCAGGAGGGGGGGAATAGCCTGGAGGCAGCCTCATGTATACATCCTGGTCTAAATCGCCATGTAAGAAGGCGTTGTTGACATCCAGATGGTGCACAAACCAGGATTGTGCAGCTACAAGGGCAAGAAAAAGCCTGATGGTTGTCATCTTCACCACAGGAGCAAAGGTATCCTGGTAATCGACACATTTTGCTGGGTGTACCCTTTGGCTACCAAGCGAGCCTTTCTCCTTTCAAGACTCCCATCTGGCAGAAATTTGAACTTGTAAACCCATTTGTTGCCTATGACTCGGGCATCAGAAGGTCTCTCAACAATATCCCAGGTATGATTGGCCTCAAGTGCCTGTGTTTCTGATTTCATAGCCTCATTCCATTCTTTCAGGGTAGAAATGCTCAGGGCAAATTTTTGATGAGAAGAGAGAGGAAATGTTATACCTGGAGTATGCTGTCTGGGAAGATGATTGGTGGAAGAAAGCTGCTGAAGCAGATTGCAATGGTAGGATTGAAGATGAGGAGGGGGTTTGGATTGGCGGTTTGATTTTCTGACTGGTGGAGGAGGTGGGGGGGGTGGTGGTGAAGGAGATGGGGAAGGAGATGAGGAGGAAGTGGAAGAAGGTGTCTCAGTGTCTGACTCAAAATGTATGTCATTGAGGAATGGTTCAGGGGCTGTAGGAGGAGGATGTGGTGTATATGAGGGAGTAAAGTCATCAAAGGTGGCAGGATGGAACGAATGGCTAGGTGAAGGATCAGTTGTGGGGGAATCTCGTGGATTCTGGAAGGGAAATTGATCTTCATAGAATTGAATGTCTTTAGAGGTGAAAACCTCATGGGTGAGTAGATCATAAACTTTGTATCCCTTAATTCCAGTTTTGAATCCAATAAAAATACCTTTTCTAGCTCTGGAATCAAATTTCTTCCTGTGATTGTGAAGAGTACTAGCAAAACATAAACAACCAAACACTCTCAATTCTGTGAAATCAGGAGGTTTATGGAATAGCTTTTCATAGGGGGTTTGGTTCCCCAGAACAATTGTAGGAACCCTGTTAATAAGGTAGACAGCATGTTTGATGCAATCTCCCCAAAAACCAGCTGGGAGATTGGCCTGGAATTTCAAGGCTCGAGCCACAACAAGAATATGCTGGTGTTTTCTTTCCACCTTGCTGTTCTGCTGTGGTGTTTCAACACAGGAAAGTTCATGAACTATTCCTGTTTGGTTAAAGTAATCATTCATTTGAAATTCGAGGCCTTGATCACTCCTGATTCTGTTGACAAAGGTTTGAAATTGTCTTTCAACATAGGAACAGAAGTGTTTGAGTTTAGTTCTGGTTTCAAATTTAGCAGAAAGAAGAATAACCCAAGTCATTCTGGTAAAAACATCAACAATTGTCAAGAAATACTTGAAACCATCATAGCTAGAAGTAGAGTTTGGACCCCAAAGATCAACATGTATCAGGTCAAAAGGAGAACTGCAAACAGTGTTGCTACAAGGAAATGGTAATCTCTTTTGTCTAGCAAAATGACAGGTATCACAAGGTGTGGAGGCATCTGTTTCTATGGATTTACAAAGTTTCCTCAAATGAGGGATCTTAGAATGAGAGACATGGTCTAGCCTGTAATGCCATAGGTCAAAAGTTTGTGCACTAGTGGCAACAAAATGTTTAGGTTTACTATCTATGTCGGGGCTGTCAAATAGGTAAAGGCCATGGGTGAGCTTAGCAGAACCAATCATCTTCCTCAACTGCATATCCTGTATGAGACAGACATTGGAAAAGAAAGTTAAGCATAGGGCTGAGATGGTGGTCAATTTGCTTCTTACAATAGGTGCATTGGACTGGATTGCCTGTGGAGCTTCCTGATCTGGTATTGCTCATCCAAGGTGGCCATCCATGCTTGTGATAGCATGTGTCTTCTGTGTGTCCTGAAAACTTGCAGTAGGTACAGAATGGCCTTGGCCTCCTTCCTTGATAATTGATGTTTCCTTGTGCAGCAAAAGCCATCCCCTCAGTGGCTAGATTCTTCACTGGTTGAGTTCCAGATAGTTGTCTTTCATGCTGTAACATTCTTTGAAAAACTCGATCTATTGATGGTAAAGCTTCACCAAATAGAACTTGTGACCTTACTCCAGAAAAATTATCATTCAGGCCTCTTAAAAACTGAATCACATAGTTTGTATCCCTGTATGTCTGGACCAGCAACATTGCTCTACAGGTGGTGTGGCTAGTTGTGGTGCAAACACAGGGTTCCAGTGGCTGATAATTATCTAGCTCATCTCTTAGGGCTATGAGGTTTCCATAGTACTCAGTAACAGACTGATTACCTTGCTTGAGGTTGCAGATGGACTCAATCAGCTGTGCAATCCTCACCATGTCTCCCTGTCCATATCTATCTCTGAGACTTCTCCATGCTTCAACTGCACTTTTGCAGGACAAGATGGTCTTCCTTATCCCAGGATCTACTGCCTGTTGGATCCAAGAAAGAACCATCCACAAAACCGAGCTTGTTTTTTGCACCCAGGGCATTGTGAACAGCTTTGCTCCAATCATTGTAGTTTGTTGGTGTTAGCTTCTCTGCAACAAGCCAATGTCCTGGCTGCTCCGAACCATGAAGGTAAAATGGATCAGCCATTGGATCTACAGCTGCTGATACTCCTTCTGCAGCTTGGTTTGCCATGGTTGCTGCTGGCGGCTGCTAGGGTTTAGCAACCAGGCTCTGATACCATAACAACCTTTTAGGGTTGAGGATCAGAAGCCGTGCCTCATTTCATTACAATC